CGCTCTCGTTCTCGTTCTCGCTCTTCTTCTCATCGAAATCATCGGCATCGGCATCGCTCTCGCCAAAACAAACGTCGCAGACATAGGAGTGGGCATGATTCAGATTACACACAAAAGTCATCACCTAATGACGATACTAAGCCAATTAAACCTTCAAGCTACATAAGCAATTCTGATCGGTCCCGTACCTCCCATCCAGATGAAAAGGATGATCACTCAGTATGTCTGTATTAATTTTCCATTTATAAGTATGTTTAAGAGCTTGCTAAAGCGAAAAAATTTGCTTCGTAGACAATCTCACCTTAAAAATGTGATATGGGGAAGTTTTCGGCTTCCCTTAAATTCACTTCTGCCTTATCACCCAAGGACATTTTTGGCAGTGTGGCGCTATTGATGAGGCCTAGGCGATGATTAAACTGCATTCCTTCCTGGATCGGAATACCTCTTTGGAGCCAAGGCTATGTGAAATTCAATTAAAACATTAAGGCTATTTATCATTGTAGGAAAATTTAACTTATTCCATCATCATCTTAAACGAAGTAGGATGAATATATCCCTTATGTATTAGTGATTTTTTGAAAGTTTTTACTTCAAGGCGTTTGGCGATTCTGATCCTTTGATGAAAACATGCTATAAATATAATTTTTTGTCTCAGCTGCAGTTTTTCTATGTGATTTATTAATTTTTAATATGCATGCCTCATTTAATCATTCATATAGTCATCTCCTTGCCGATACGTTCATCGCTCAGTCGAGGATGAAGAATTCTCTCTGGCTCGTGGCTCAGACTCTTATAATCGAAAGCAACGTTCCCGATCCCAACCACGAAGATCGGCTCATCCGACGTACCATTCTATTCCTTCATCCCCTTGCGGTTCTCGATCTGGGCTTGCCCCCAGTGGTGCTGCTGCTGGCCATAGCAACAATTTGGATGCTACTTTTGGCCAAGTGCCTCCTCCAACTTCTAGCGCACGGAAACATTCGCCAAATTTCAATACCAACGCGTCTCGCCGACACACTTCTCCCGGGTCTCGCTCTCTCAGTGGGCAGTCTGATTCGCGGTCACATCGCCGCACACGGCATACTGACCTTTTGCTTTCTGATCAGCAATCGGGTTCAGAAAAGCGAAAACTAGAGGAATTCGATCAAAGAACTGAGAAGGTAATTTAATTACTTGGTTCTTCAGTGAATTAATTGCTTATTTGTGGTCAAACCCCGTTTTCTTAGCTTATTAGGTCAAATTATTTTGCGAACTTTTGCTTTGATTTAAGTAAGAATCGCATCGGATTTAGAGGCTATCGATTACCTTTTGCTATTATATATTTTAGTTAATTGATTTTATTAGTT